AGAAAACATGAATATGCTTGTTTTAAAAACCGTGCGTTTATTTCTTTTTAGTTGAGATTTACCCCTTTTGAATTATTTCTTTATAAACATTAATATTCATGTGGTCGTTTCGTGAGTAATGTGACGCACTTCTTTTATACCATGAAATAAATATACTCTGATGGAATTTTTAATTCGTGCCTAAATGATTTAATTGTGTTATTTGGGGGTATAGAAAGGGGGTGTTACACCTTGGCGGGACCTCGTACTCTAGAGCACCAATTCGTGTGTTCTGTTGAAATAATAGCTGGTTCGTCTGGTTGATGGCCACAAAGAGGGCGGCCACCGTCGGATCCGCTCCGGCCAGGACAGGAATGTGCTGGAATGCTGATGGGCTCCTCGGTCGGAGGACAGTTTGGTGTGCGGCTTCCGTGGACAAAGGGGAGGCAGTCTGGCCGTCCCTCTCGTCGGTCTCCGGGGGATGGGACGTCTTTGTTTGCTTGCCGCCGTTCGCGGCAGGGGTGAGGATGAAGTCGTGAACGGCATCGTCGTGGTGTAGGCTAACCATGATCGCGGAATGTTGGTGAAAACTTCGGTTCGCTGCTCGGAGGAACGGGGAAGTTTTAGTTTCCCACAGACGGCGCCACTGATCTGACCTGATCATAAGGGGATCTCTGACTGGCCACACTCTGCTGGACTGCTGCCTGTGCAACGGTGTAAAGAAAAAAATGAGGGTGTACCTGCAAGACACTCTGATGCCAAAGTAAGGAATTGGGCAGAGTGAAAACAAATATAGAAAAGGGGTAAGAAGTGAATTACCTGACCCTCTTGTGAAAGAGGGTATTTATAGAGAGACCCCAGCGCTGGGCCAACGGTCACTTGTGTTGGGCTAGATCGCCAGGCCCAACCCAGGTGACTGCTAGGGCTTACGTGACGTAGTGAAGATCAGGACGTGGTCTTCGCCCTAGTCCAACTGTCCTGTGATCTCCGGAAAGTGGGTTTGACCTGCTCTTTCGGAGGTGGGCAGTTGGTGTGTGACGTGTCCCCGCGGAGGGGAGCACGTGGAGAACGTGTGAAAGACATGTCGTCATGCCCGACAGAGGAGCGGGTTCTGCCCGCGGAGGGGCAGGTTCTGCCCGCGGAGAGGACAGTGCTTGGTCGATGGGGGAGCTTTGTGCTCGACGTAGCTGGGCAGGTTCTGCCCGCGGAGGGACATTACTGCGCGTCGGGGACCCCTGTGATCGACGGCTCCGGCCCAAGCTGGACTGGGCTTGGCAGACTATTAATGGGTTGGGTCTGCCTAGCCAAGTCGGGGCCCAGGCCAGAACAATATGTATGTCATACAATAAATTTTCATATGAGTTTAATATTTGGCAAAGTCGAGATTTTTTAGTACAAGTCATAAGCAGTGTTAAAAGAGTTGAGTGAATGCAATAAGTTAGGAGAGAGAGAGAGAGAGAGAGAGAGAGAGAGAGAGAGAGAGAGAGAGAGAGAGAGAGAGAGAGAGAGAGAAAGAGTTGTTTAATAGTAGCAAACATAGACACGCTTGGTCCAACTATCTAAACAAATGTTGTGTTCATTATCTTGTGATTTTTAGGCTTTTTTCTTGGGTTTCTAGTTATTTTAACAATTAATTCTAAATAACTTTTCTATTTTTAATTTGAATACAAAACTTATTTTGAACATTTACAAATGTATGATCTAGAAGTCTAATGAATGCTCAATTTCACAAACACATGCATACAATAAACCAAATCAATAACAAATGAAAAGAAAAACCAAACTTATTAATATCATTTTCATAAGACAAACATATAAAACCAATCCAAATATTAACAACATAAAATATATACTTATGTCGGGCCATATAATCCTCATCAGCAAAAGAGAAACTAAAACACATATAACTAGTTGAGTTTTAAAAAAGAATTCTAAAAAATATTTATAACATAGTTTTAATCATGAATAAGCCACGTGTACACTTTTCATAAATCTTTATTATAAGTTATTCTGTAAAATAATTTGAAAATTTAGTAATTCAATAAACAAGTTAACCAATGAAAATATATAGATTTACTCGTAAATAAATTGCAGGAAAATCCTAAAATCCTTTTTACAAGTTCTTTGGTATCTAAAATATACCTACAAAATTTTAGTCATATTTGTCACGTCCCAACTTATTTTAAACGTAACATTTTGAAGCTATGAATGCAAACTTCATAATGAATATGTGTTTTGGCTATTCATCAAAGAATCCATATGCCGGCATAATGTTCTAATTATTCATACATTTTCTATCATTTACCATTTTGCTAGAAGTTTTTCATTTAACTTGGACATGGCACTTAAAAACAAAGTAGAAAGACAATAGTGTAAATAAGACATAACCTTAGTTATTAAACAATTTCCAATGCATGACGATGATCCTTATCTTTTATAGGTACCATGCATCATCATAATTGAGCAGTTAATATTATATAACTCAAGAACATTGAGGTTAGGGGAAACACCAAGAGTGAAGCTTTCATTGTCAATCAAAACTAAGCATGGTGGTGGCTAAGGCTTCTTCTTCTCCTTCTCATCCTCTCACAAATAATTTCTTCCCTTGTTCCGTCATCGATGCTCAGAAGTAATTATCTATATAATCTCATTAGTATTTTATACTATATTTGAATTCACTTTAGCTTTTAGATTTCTTATATGATACTATATGATGATTTTATATATGATTGTGCAATTAACAGGGGAGATCCATTGGCATTTGGGTCATACTGGAAGCAGATGAACGACGAGTGTACGGTGGTGATTAAAGGATGGGAGTTGATGAGTTACTATAGCGATTCGAGTAACATGTGTTGGTTCATGCTGCCAGAACTCAAAGATGCCATTGAGAGAATTCACCATTTGGTTGGAAATGCTGTGACCAAAGATAGATACATAGTTGTTGGAAATGGTTCTTCTCAGCTTTTTCATGCTTCTTTGTTTGCTCTGTCTCCTTTAGATGTCCCTGATCACCCTGTCAATGTTGTTGCCGCTGCTCCTTATTACTCGGTAATGTTTCTTTGGTCGGGTGAAACCCAAGTTGTGTCCAATAGAAGGTTAATTAGCGATGTGTTTGATTTTATTTTATAGGAATACAAGAATGTGATTAATATAATGCATTCGAGGATGTTTCAATGGGGTGGTGATGCTGCGGCGTATGATAAAAATGAACCTTATATCGAGGTGGTGACCTCCCCGAACAACCCTGACGGGACTCTTCGTGAACCAGTGGTGAACTCTATAGCTGAAGGGAAGTTGATTCATGATGTGGCGTATTATTGGCCGCAATTTACTCCGATTACTCACGAGGCTGACAATGATGTTATGCTCTTCACGTTCTCCAAATGCACCGGTCATGCTGGTTCTCGCATCGGGTGAGTTCATGAACCAAGTGTAGTAAACTCCTATATAGAAGGCATTTATGTTTTTTAGGTATTACTATATGCTAAAGTTTGATATTTGTTTTTGTTAAGATGGGCTATTGTGAAGGACATTGAAGTTGCTAAGAAGATGGCAACATTTGTGCAGTCGAGTTCAATGGGGGTGTCGAAAGAATCCCAAACTCGAGCTGCTAAGATCATTGGAGTGGTTTGTGATGGTTACCAAAATTTCAAGTCCAGTGAATCTGAACTCTTCTTTGAATATAGCAAACGTCTAATGAAGGAAAGGTGGGAGAAATTTAGGGAAGCTGTTGAGCAAAGCATGGTTTTCAGTGTGGCCAAATATCCAAAGGCCTACTGTAACTTCACCAAAGAGATATCTGAAACATACCCTAGTAATTTATTTCCCATTTTTTAGAAGCTTTTTTTGACCCTTTCATCTATTTAATTAGCTTTTTGTTACCTAAGGTTTGGTTTGAATACACATATTTTCTTGTTTGATTCCTACAGGTTTTGCATGGATGAAATGTGAGGAGGGGGGAGAAAATGGTCATGACTATCTAAGAAAATTGAATATTTCTTCAAGAGAAGGAGAGCGATTCGGTGTTGATTCAAAGTTTGTTAGGATTAACATGCTTGGTGTGGATGATGATTTCAATGAATTGGTAAAGAGGCTATCAAATGTTAAAATAGAATAAGATTGGATGATATAAGAAAAATAAGGGTGTTTCAACAGTGCCTTGAAAAAACTTTAGTGTTTTGGTACTGTTTGTTGATTACAAATTCAATAAAATTGAAGTTATAAATTATGTTTATTTAGAATGTTTGTTATCTTTCATGTAAAGATTTAAATATAGAAATTATCATTAGTATATTTGTTTGAAAATTTTCACAGGTTCTCTGTTACTTGAGTAAACAGCTTGAGTTCGATATAATTTTAATTTTAGAGCTTCTTAGCAACCTTAAAATAATGTTAAGTTGCAATGTTTTCAGGCCTGCACCTCATCACCAAATTTTATACAGTAATGTTTACAAATTTTTTACTGCATTATTTTTTTTACTCAACTGTATTATTTTTTTCAAGACTCTCTGAATCATAATATTTGCAACATGAATCTCTAAATATATTAAACGAAATTAACTACACTGCATTTGAAGGCAACATAATATTACTCACTGTAATTCTAAAAACACTTGATATTGTACAGTGTAAATTACTAAAGGTCGAAAACACAGTAATACAAAAGCTAAAGATTCTCTTTCAAATGTAAATCAAATCATATTACAATATAAAGACAATGGAAAAGATGAAATCAGATAGTGAATGAAAAGCAAAATGAGGTTTAAAAACATACATTTTCTGCACATAAACGTATTTGAGCGAAAGGACTTGCACACGAGGTACAGGCCCGTTTGCAAATTCCTGGTGTGAACTTTATAGACAGTGAGCAACTTACAATCTGTTGCCAATTATCTCGAAGAGATAGATATTTGGCCAAATAAATTTTAACTTCTCTAAAGAGTCCCAGACCTCATCCAAATGTTTGCAGTCGTGTTCATTGTGGATGTGACACAATCACCAAAAACAGATAGAGGACCTTAAATAAGCCTTAGTTCATACTCTCCTGCCATTGTTATGTATCGCACCCATGGAAGAGCTTGATACCCACTCTTCTCAATAATCTTCAAATATCTAACCTAAAAGACAAAAACATTACATTTTGATTACCTTCTCCATTAAATCAATGAAGCTTCTCCTAAATAAACAATACTATCAAATATGTGGTAAAACTTAATTTCTTCATGTTTTATTGATACAAATTATACGTAATAGCGTATTAATTTCTGAACCTTTTCTGATGTCAAGTTATTTTTGTTACCATCAATTGATTCAATTCTTTGCTAAAAAGATTGATTAACATTTCTTGAAAACTTCTGCATGACAATGGAATTGTGAAAACAAAATGAACTAAAACAGATTTGTTTAGTTCACTACACCCTCAATCCATTGAAATAATTAAAATGTTGGCAGACAAGTTCTAACAGTATATCTAAGCACTCAGGGAACCCTCTCATAAAAGGTAGCTATTTAGAGGAAGAACCAAGCAACTTAAATACTCCACCGAGCCCATACTACTCGATGCAGGACTTGGGCACCCAATAATACCCCAAGTCCCCCCTATCAGATACACCAATGGGAAAATGGTGCAACAGGAAGGAGTGATATATTAGTACAATGAAGGAAATATTCACCTAAATTTTAATCAGGCATGATCATTGAAGGAAGCAAACATTGTATACAACAACAACGACCAAGCCTTATCCCACTAAGTGGGGTCGGCTACATGGATCAACTTCCACCATAATGTTCTATTCAGCACCATACTTTTATCTAAATTGTTAATCTCGAAATCTTTCTTAATAACTTTTCTTATAGTTTTCCTAGGTCTTCCTCTACCTCTAACTATTTGACTCCTCCCCCTTTGATCTATTCTCCTTACCACAGAATCTATAAGTCTTCTCACTACATGCCCAAACCACCGAAGTCTATTCTCCACCTTTTTTCTACTATATGTGCTACCCAACCCAACACTCTAATATTGTCATTTCTAATCTTATCATGTCTAGTCTTACACCACACATTCAACGCAACATCCTCATCTATAGTACACTTACTTTATTCTCGTTTTGATTCTTAAGCGCCCAAACATTGTAAGATATTGAAAACATAGCCTAACAATACTCATAAGAAAATCATGTTTATGTAGCATACCTGTATTCCAGAAATTGTAAAATATGGTATCTCAAATTTCACACGTATAGGAGCTTTTCTCTCAGGAGTTGCTTCCTCATCTATTATACTGGGAAGACGAAACTCCGCTCTTAACATATACTCCTGAAAGTGTGAAAGAGAGAAGATCAGAATCCAATCAATCACATCAAATCTAATTTAGGTATCAAGATGGATATTATTCAAAATTTCAAATGATCCATTGCCACTTCCACGTTACCTTGCCTCCAGGGAAGGATCTAACTTTCCAGATCAACGCATCTTTTTCAGGTGCATATGATGCAGATCCCATTGACGTTCGAATGTTAGGATTGGTTGCATCAACAGGCACGGGCAACTCAATCTCAACATTCGTGGCAGTACTATAAAATAAATCCTATTAGTTGGTGAAACAAGGACATTTAGGGCAATCTAAAATTTGGGGCAAAAACCACACAGAATGAATTAAAGGGAAAAGATCCCCCATTTTCTGTCAAGGAAAACATAAAGCAAAATGACATATGAGAAAAGAAATCTCAGTACCTACGTTCCTTAAACTGACTCCTAGCTTTTACCATAATCTCAATCCGACTCTTTGAATGCTTTTCAACAGTTGCTTCCACCCAAAGTAAAGGCTTAACCTGAAAAGAGATGGTACCATCAACAGAGACTTCAAAATGATCTCTCTCGCTCTCTAAGTGTGTTGTGTGTGTGCACCACCTCTCAAAATAGAAACTTATTTTATATCAGCGAAGAACCTGTGTACTGAGTCTGTATGTCATCAAATCAAATGACCCATCAGGAGGTATGAAGGAAATTGTTCGATCATTTTCAAATCGAGCCAACCGAACACACCTTCATAAAATGCCAGACATAATTTGAAAACTAGCATCAAGAAGAGGAAAAATGCTTGAAAAATGTATATCAAATATTTAATTCTGAGTGATCAATTTCTAAAGACAATAAGGCAATCATACATACTGATGAAACTTGATGTCTTCCAAGTCTATCGCCTTTCCCTTGGTTGTTCTACCTTGTGCCTCTAACAACACTCGATCGTTTAAACCAAGTTTACACTCAGGCATACCACTGCATTATAATAAGCCAAGAACACAACATGTCAGTTTCCAGACAGATACTCCAGCATGGATCTTGGGTAATAGATATTTCACAATTAATGCTCTCAACTGTGAATGTACTACATGTATCCAGTGGTTGGACCTGTCGGCAAAATATCTAATGGGTAGAAAATTGACATATATGTCTATTGTTCAGTATGAGCTCCGAAAGAAAGTTTCAAATGTACAAGATGAATAAAGCAACATCCAAGGGGAATCAGTACAAACAGAAAAAAAAACATGAAGTCCAAATTGTTAATTTCATTTGCATTCCTCAAATTTCCACTGGAGATAATACCCAAGAAAAATCTAGTATACAAAACTATTCAATATAAGGAATCAGTACAGGCTTGGTTCCCTAATCCCTAATGTCTATCACTTCAGTCCTCGCCAATAACAATGTATACATACATACCCTATAGTGTCCACATATGAGTAGACACAAGAATAGAAACATCAAAAAGTAAAAAACACAAACTAGAAAACTGCCAACAATACTTCATCCAAAATGAAATATTAGCAAAATTAGATCAAATCCCACATATTAAGAAAAGTAGTTGAACAATTATCACATTTAATCTAGGCAGTCTCAATAAAAATATTAAGTCTACAGTCTAAATTATTCTACTAACAAATTGATTCAATGAAAATATAAGAAGTTAAATTAAATGAGGAGTATTTTAGAGATCATGTAATTAAATAGGAGAGAAGTAGTGTAATTTGCTTATACTTCATTCAGAGGGAGTATTAGAACTTAGATGTTGCAATCAAATACCAAAACCTAAAAGATCTCAAAACAATACCTAGAAATGCAGTAGATCTCAAGCAAAGCAAGAAGCAAACCTCAAAAATGTTCTCATCTTCAGTGCCCCAACAACGTCAGATCTAATTAATTGTCCGTTGCTATTGACAAGTATATTAACACTCTCCACCACATCCAAGAAAACCTAAATACAAAAATTGAAAAGTACAACTCAATGGCCGAGCCGAGACCATCATATTACAATTCAAAAACATACAATTGTTCACTTCTCTAATAACCACCTCGTTTTTCTTGTAAATTATTCCTTCGCTTCGCCAAGACACGGCATTAGTCACGGCCATAGGAGGTCTCTGAGTAACTTCCATTCTATAAGCATCGGTCTTAATAAACTCACTGAGAATCTTTGCCTCGGTATATTGAGGGTAACCAAAGTCCATAATTTCATCAAGTAGCTCATACTGCCAAAAACACAACAAATCCAAATATCAAAACCAAACCACAAAAAACTCAACAAACTCATTCATACAAATTATTTCGAGCAGCATTTATACCACAACAACAAAGTTATCCCTTAGCGATTCTTCTTCTAATTCTTCAAAATAATGCTTAAACACCTGCCACAGACACGATATCACTGATTGCGGGTTACTTAGAAAAACTAATTCAATGAAGGATCGAATCAGAAAAGTGCTCACATCAACTAGTCGATGCAGAAAGAAAAGTAGACTAGCGGCATTACAGTTTTGTCTCGCGGCAATCACAAGGTAAACATTGCTATGTTGTATGAACATATACGTAACACCGTTATCGTAAACAACCGGATCTTGAGACTGTTCATCAGCCTAACAAAAAAAATCGAATCGTTCATAAAGACATCGTGGGAAGTGTGAATTTGAATTTGGATCTGAGAGAATGAAGTGAAGTGAAACCTGCTTGTCGATGAATTTGGTGAAGAAGCGTTCAGCTTCAATGGCGGAGACGTCGCCGCGGTAGTCACGCCAAACGAGGATGCGGCCTTTGATGTCGAGGAGGAACAGAGCAGAAGCTGCCCCTGACATTGATGATGCGTTCAGACGATGGATCAGATCCAATTTGAATCGGCGTCACGGTGGTGATGAAAGAAGAAGACGACGGAGAATATGGACTCTAACGACGCCGTTAGCATCACCAGAAAACAAGTTATTGAAGAATTTTCAGATTTTAAAAAATTGTTATCAATCCGTCAAAAAAAATTATTATTGTGAATTTCAACTTTCTCCTTAAAAAAAATATCAAATTTCTTTTTGTTTGTATAAGTAATTGCAACTCAATCCTTTGAAAACACTTTAAATTTGTTATATTTAAATTATAAATAAATAATAAAATTCATTCTTCCCTCCATCTCAAATTAGATTGTTCCTTTGAGTTTTGAATATCTTTTAAGATACAATTAAATATTTTGATTTTAATTATAAAATGAGTTTCATTTACATTCATTTACAAAGATACTCTTATTAGTATGTAGAGAAGTAATTAGATTAATTAAAATAACAGACAATAGTTTGTAAATGGAAAACATTAATAAAGACTATATTAATATTCTAAAAAGATATAATTTGAAATAAAGAAAAATAAGTAAATTTTATCTCAATTGGATAAAAAATAAATATTGTTAGATTAATCATCATCACCTAGGTTCGAATTCTAGACTTCATAGTTATGTTTGAGTTTCTACTACTTTATCAATGTGAAGGTGTAAACTTAACTAAGGTCTTAGAACTAAGGTCTTAGAAGGTTAAATTGTTGAACAAATTCGATAGATTGGTGTTTTCTTCTTGCAATCTCATTTCCATTCCTCCATATTACATGTAGATGCTTTCTTAAAGTGTTTGTGATCAAACCACTTGCAACTTCATATGAAAATGTATTAATAATATATGTATTTCATTGGTGAGTTTGTATAAAATTGAACAACCTAAAATGCGGGGTGGATTAGTGATTCACATGACTATAGATGTCAACGTCTCTCTTATAAGTATGCTAGTGAACATGCTTTAAGATTTTGAAAATGTTTTGAATTAATATTGTTTTCTCATAAATATGTATTTGGCGACCACATCCTTTCTCGTGTCAAAATTGTTGAATTACCTACTTGAAATTCTATTAGTAAAAGCAAGAATATCCTTAACATGATTTTGTTTATAGTGGATTAAGTTGTTTCATCTTTCTGATTTAACCATTAGAATTATTTAAGTCATATGTGTGTCTGATCGGTAAAATAGCAAGTGTATTATTTTGTCAATGGAGTAATAAGGGAAATTTTTCCGAATATCGATCTCGAGAATTGCATAAGAAATACAAGCTTTAAAATAAGGGTAATGTTAACTTGTGCCCTTGGGGCACATGTTAAGAATTAAATTAAGAAACATTGTCTTGAAAATTGTGTATAAACTTTAATTAAAGTATAAAATTAATTTTTAAATCGTTTTTTCCAATGCAAATTTACTATAAGTGGTTTTCTTAACATGTGCCCCAAGGGCACAAGTTAACATTACCCTTAAAATAATTTAGTTGAACAAAAGATCTTGGATTTTAAAATTGTTTTGTTTTAATTGCAAATAAAAGAGAAAATTTGACTAATTGGTTTAAACAGGTATGAGTAACATGCTAGGGAAAGTGTATGATCCGACTCAGGAACAACTCTGAATTAACACTGCAACGACTTATTGTAACTACTAATTACTTATTCTTTAGAATGTTTACTCCTAAGTGCTTAGTAAGAAAATTTTTAATCATCTACCCTAATTCTTATGTCCATAGAGAATTATAAGTGAGATTAAGCAATCAATTATCAAGAATTATTCTGGTTCCTATAGGGTATCCCTAGTCCTAGGTAATATTTACTACAGAATGATCAAAAGCAAAGTCTTAACAACGGCGGCCCAGTCTAATCGTTAATCATAAATCAAACATTGTTGGTCCGACAGGGCAAGCATTAAGAACAGCTAGAGATCAAATCAGTTATGAAAACAAAGGAAATGTCATTGCAATAATAATATCAGAGTCATTACAGATTCAAATCAGGGATACCCCTTAATATTAGGGGGTTTAACTACTCATATTATTCAAAGAAAATACAAAATAAAAGTTAGACATTACAAGATAATAGGATTCTTTGATCTTCAATGGCTTCCGCTCATGAAAACCTCCAGCTTCTCAATCACCTTGATTTCTCTAATCCGGATAGTGCAATCCTTCTTTGGTCAAAAATCCTTTGTTTCCTTCTCAAAATTTGTCTTAAATACTCTCAGGTCCAACACAGTAATAGAAAAATACCCAAAATACCCATAGGGATCATAAAGACCCAAAAAATCAGAAAATTGGAAGATGAAGCACATCAGCCAACACGAGTCGTATCAGCTGACATGGGAGCCCGTATTGGCTCCCTGGTTATCTGATGCAAAAAGTTGTTTGCTCCAGACCTCTTGACACGGGCACCCGTGTCAGGCCACTGTCCAACCCTCAACTTTCACTCTCTTGGTACCTTCCTGGCACGGGTTGTGTCAGCTGACACGGGCGGCTGTGTTGGCTCCCTAGTTATCTGATGCAAAAAATTGTCTGCTCCAGACCTCCTGATACGGGCCGTGTCAGGCCAATGTCCAACCCTCAACTTTCACTCTCTTAGTACCTTTCTGACACTGGCCGTTTCAGGTGACACGGGTGACCGTGTCAGGCCATTGTTCCACTTCTAAAACTCTTCCGAATTCCTGCTGTTTTTCCCGGTTTTTGCTCTGATTCTTCTTGATTGTATACCTGAACCTAGAAATAATGGAAATACCAAACGAACGTATAAAATGTGATAAAAGGACATAAAATGCAACTAAACTTATAAGACAATTAACTAAAACTCATGGTAAAATAACGTATAAAAATCACTTATCAAATTCCCCCAAACTTAAATCGTTGCTTGACCTCAAGAACAAGCTTGGATAAACATTTTGTCATATCAAACGGTATATATCAAATAAAAGACTTATGACAGTAAGTTGTGTCGATACTCATACTTGAGTTTGTGTTTCGATCGGCCAAAACTAGTTCTCTTGGTAATCGTCCATTAACGAATGTATTACACAAACACATACCGCGGTAACACCATGGACCTAAATCCCCCTTTCTCTCACCTCTCTAACTATGCTTTGGGCTTAATTATTTTCTTCGATTTTCTACCCCTTTCATTTGGATAATCAGATTAAGGCACTTTTGATCGCTTTCCCTCACATGTATAAGATTGGATCGAGACTTTTTCAAGGCACCTTTATTCTTTTCTTTTTCTCGCGCATTGGCGTTTATTAGTCCACTTTGGAACGAATATAGAGATTCAACTGTCGTTAGGCTAAATAACCGGGTGAGGGTTACCCAACTTTGAAGGATCGGTTGTCTTTACCGTCATTATTCATCATTTTTTTAGGTGCCATAAGTCATTCTCTCAATCAACTTTATACATGCGATTCTTTTTAATTGTGTCAGAATATCACTATGAACTAATCTGGGAATACTTCTCAAATCCAAGTATTATGGCACGAATCTACATGTTGGACTCGTTACCTTACTTTGGGGAATCTAGGGTGTTCAGGTTATACCTCAATCTCCAAATTTCCCAAATTCCCTAGTTTCAACTCTTCTTCCATCAAACTTTATATACTCTCCTGACTACTTCACACATCATAGTATTCACAATAGGGAGAGTTCACGGCGATTTTTAAACAAAAGGACCCAAATACAAATAAAAAGTGCTTAACACGAAAACTCAAAACAGTAAAAACTCCCCCAAACTTGAACTAAACATTATCCTCAATGTTTTAGAACAGGAGTGGGAGAGATGTACTTACAGATATCCTTACTGAGGAGTTGGAGGGTAATGCTCCACTCTAGCTTGCACTTGTAAGGTCTCGTTTATTACCTGCAAACAATATAAAATGACAGCAAAAAGAAACGCGTCAGTCATTAAAATTGTGGGTTGCCTCCCACACAATGCTTTTTTAACGTTGCATGGCTCGACGGTTAACTGTCCATTGTTATGGGGTGTATTTCAGCTTCCATACTTTGTTGCTTGAACTTTCTGCAACAAAGGATCTGTCAGGTTTAGAGATAACCATCACTTTGTGTATCAAATCACATCCAACTTTTCTATTATTGACTCCTCGAATGAATTTTGGAGTCTCGCTATGTGCCTTGGATGCCTGAGATATTGCAACCTGATAAACTACACCATAGAATTTTTTCAGAAGTGGTTTTGAACTTTTACCTTTTTACACTGTTTTGATCATTCTAACTGAAGGTTGAATATCTTCCTTTTTACCTCGCTTCTTGATGTCCAACACTTTTAAAGTTACTTCTTCATCAAAAGATTTCAAGGTTAGAGTACCTGTTTCAATATCAATATTGCACCGACTAGTAAGCATGAATAGTCGGCCAAGTATGATGGGAGTCTCTTCATCTTCTGGAATATCCAAAATCTCAAAATCAACTAGCAAGGTAAAGTTATCAATTGTCACCATTACATCCTCTGCTACCCCATATGACCTTTTAGTCGTGTGGTCGGCAAACTTCAAGTTTGTTCCCGTATCGCTCACTTTTCTAATACCCATCTTTTTGAAAATAGATAAAGGCATAAGACTCACATTAGCACCTAAATCAATGAGGACCTTCTTGAAAGTTCTATCTTTTATAGTGCAAGAAATTGCTACAGGTCCATGATCTTATTTATCCTAAAGAGAGAAAGGGAAATAATGATAAAACCTTTAGGAAAAGAGCATGGCCATCGCAACCAAGTTTTAGGGTTCGGGAGTCGATTATGTGAGGGGAAGGTATTAGAACCCCTCACATCCATCGTATTCGATGGGAACCTTCTAGGTTGTTGAAATTCTGGTATCAGATATTAGATGTCGAAAGAGATGTCCACGACACAAATATCTGTAAGATAAGAACAAAGATAAACAAAAACAATTGTAAAGAGACACAATAATTGTTAACCCAGTTTGGTGAAACCACACCTACATCTGGGGGCTACCAAGCTAGG